GGCGAGTCTACAAGACGCTTAAGTTATAGCTAACCACACATACTCCATTGTTACTCAGCCAAGCAGTGAGTTACATCATGCAGCTGCAGGTCCTGGCATGTCTCACCCTCACACTACTCCCCGCAGACTCTAGTGAGTCGTAGAGGAAAGTCTGACAGCGTTTGTAGTGAGTTTACTCCACAGAGCCGAGGCCGGGGCCGAGCTGTGAGCTCAGGGTTCAGTTATGCCTTTAAAGGCCAGGGTGTGGTCTGCCTTCTTCCCCTCCTCCTCGTCTTCTCCCGCGCTCTCCAAGCTCAGGCTGCCGATATTATGAAACAGCCTGGCTCATGTCCAGGCCGAACCCTGCCGAGGGCCCACCGAGAGCCAGACGCAGAGTAAGAGTAAGAGACAGCCTCTCTCTGTGAGTCTCTCACATGTGTTACATGCTGTGAAGCGTAGCAGCACCTTACCACTGAAGTTGAGCTTATTATCTTGGCATTCCTCACATTCTCTGTGATTTGTTGCCAGCAGAGAGTCACTGTAGAGCCAGATGTTCATTGGAAGACTACTGTCACTTTGAGAGTGGATCTTTTCTGGTCATTGAATAACAATAGGTAGTTTTGGTTTGGTGTTTTAGCTTGAATGTGCTTCTCTACCTCACACACTCTGCTCAGCTGGCTTCAGTCAAACAGCAGAATGTCTCCAATGGATTCAGAACAGAAGTGCAGTCTGTAATATGGTTCCCATTGTTAATATTACACCATTTCTACATTCATGCATTCCACAGATATACACTCCCTGGCTCCAGTGTCCTCTTTTCCATAGGAAGTAGCTAAAAGGAGAAGCGGTTTCTCAGACAATGGGGATCAGTGATTGGCTTATTAACTTCTATTAAATTAATTGCAAACTATTTTGCAATTAATTTAAAAACAGTTTTTTCAAAAAGTCAATTCTCTGACTTCAGCTTCTCAATGTAACATTTTCTGCTTTCTTCAGTACTCGGTACAGAATGTGTTTGGGGTGTGGCAGACATTTAAGGACTTAGGGAAACACTGATCAACATTTTCTGGGCCAAACAACTAATCAGTTAATAAAGAAAATTATTGACGGCTCAATAAAGGATGAAAATAATTGTTAGTTGCAGTTGTGTTTAGAAACACATACGCAGTAAGTCTTTCATCTGGAGCTAAAATGTAAGCGTATGTGTAGAAGGAATGATATTGTCTGTGTGCTTTTATAAGAAATGAGACGTACTGTGTTTACAGAACAGTTTTGTAAACTCAGCTCACCTACTGCTGGAATCAGCAACAACACAGGTAGTACAGTGATGTAACCCTGATCCAGGGAAATGTCAACGCGAGGCCACATTGTGAAGGTAATGAAGTGAAAACAGGACATTCTTCAGTCGGCCCACAATATGGAAAACCATACTGGCGGATGTGTCTGGCATCTTTAGCTTGTGGGTAAAGTAGAGCTGTTGTGGTGAAGGAATTTCCTCTGCAGTGATTCAAAGTAGCTAGGAAGGATATTCCAACTGTCTGTACTGTAGATTGGCACATTAACAGTGAGGACTGTGAAACCTGTGAATAGAATAGTTATTATACATTCTGTCATTGGGCTGTCAATTAAATAATAGTGAAATTAGAAGTTAATTAACATATTCGAAAGCTGAAAAACAAATACTGAACATGACGTGATGATGAGATATCACATGCGGTGGTGGCGGTTTACCATCCCCTGCGGTTGGCTTGTCAGTAGCACTGTATTCCATTATTGCAGTTATGACGGCCCAAGGATAAAAATCTTGTAGCACCCTACATAAAATATGCAGGTACTCTACTGGTTAAAGCTAAGCAGAAAGTGGATGATGGGTTTTACTGTGAAGCAGCTGCACGAGGTGTTGAGCTGAGCAGCAAGACGTGTTGCTGTGTGTACAGATATGAAAAGGCAGATTGTCTCTTCCCTCTAATGAGTCTGAGGCTTTCAGGGCCATGTGTACAATGAGTTATTTACACATGCTGTCAGTGGCTTGTTTACTCCATGTGTTTCAGTCACGGTAGTTGTGGGAATGAAAATAAGCGCTCTCTGGTGTTGCTCCTGCGTGGCTGATAACAAAGTCGAACCTTTCTCAGCCTCTTATTCTCACAGGCTGCCTTTAGCAGCACCGGGATGTGTTCTGAAGGTTCACTTGACAAGGACTGGCATCCTGTCACTTCTCCAGTCTTTGAGACTGTTATGTGTCTGCCCGGAGTTCATGACCACATGGATTGTACTCGCCTATAAGCTCACTGACTGCACACAGACACCCAGTGTAGTACAGAGTCACGTGTGCGTCCACTTACCAGCCTGCACACCATGTCCGTGTCCATTTTAGTTTATATCAGGGAACCAAAGCAGAAACCTGGGCAACAGTGGGAGCAAATTTCTGTGCAGCACAGTTCAGTTGTTTCAAAATATGATGGTTTAAAACATGGCAGCATATGTAACTGGTATGCTCACATTGTGTTTGAGCAGAACATTTCATGTTTGTATACTTTATTTGCACAGAGGCACAGCCTCCTTGGGCTGCGAGTAAAGAATGAGATGCAGGCCTTCATTTCAGAGGCAGCTGGCTTCAAACACGGAGTAATTTCCTGTTGGCTGATGTGTGTGTGTAGGACGGCTTCAGGCCAGCATGTTGTTTACTATCAAGCGCCTGCAGCATCTGCTTACATAGTGCCACTTTTTCCCCGCTCTTTTTTTTTTTTTTTTTTCTCTGGCTTCACTTTAATCTTAGGAAATTGAATGAAACTCAAGCTAAAGCTTCTCACAAATCAAGTGATTGTGTGCATGAATACACATCTCACATGTGCTTCCACATATCTGTTTAAAGACCAGGCATGGAATGAAGTAGCTGGGGATTTTTCAAAAAATTTTCCTGCCTTTTTTAAACAGGCAAACGGTAATATTCATTGATAGCTGCATTGTGTATAATTAGCAACCTGGTAAACAGGTTTTTGTAACCGTCTGAAAGCTCAACAAACAAAGCTCTCCTCTGAGAGAGAATAGGCTGGCTAAAAGTTCACAGGGGGTGTTTGGAGGTTAAAGCGTCTTGTATACTCGCCGTTTCCCTGACATGTCAGCGCGACAGTATGACGCAAAAATGACGTAGATCCTCGCTGGCGCGCCCCGGGATTTAGGCAGGTTCGCTGCCCAAAAGGTGGGGGGGGGGGGGGGGGGTTTTTGCGCACCACTTTATTTTTTTTTTTTTCAGCTGAGCGTGCCAAAGCGGAACAGGATAGATGGACAGTTCGAGGTAACGGGCTGGCGATATGGACCAAAAGTCATTATCTCGATTAATTTAAAGGCCTGAATAATCGATATAACAGATATATATCCCGATAATGTTTTTCACAAAGTTGAGATCAAATGTTCACTCTCTCCTCTTCTCTCTCATCGCTCCTCACCTTGGAGACAACACCTACCACACACACGTTGTGACCAGAGAGTTAGCCTGCATTAATAACTTTTAAATTTATATTTTCAGAAGGCCAGTAAGTAAGAGTTACCACTCACACAAAACTGCTGACCGTATTTACACGAGCAATGATAAGATTACGGTTAAAACAACTAAAGTCAAGTTAACTATTAAGCTGTACATTAGGATTGACTCCAGCAACTAGTTCCTGGTAACGTTAGTTACAAAACATTATGGATGATAAAGATTTGCTGCCTGTAAAACAGAACAAACAACCCTCCCGACTAAAACACACTCAAGTATTTAAAAGTGGTGTTTTGCTAACATGTAATCATCGAGCTTAACGTCTAACGTTTTACAAATGTTACTAAAACACAGCGTTAACTAACGTTAGCTAATGTTAGCGTAACAGTTAACCGTTAAGTTACTGTAACACCAGTTAAATTATCCAGCAGTTAGCTTACCTAGCAACAGTCCTGACACGTATCAGTCTAAATGATGATTGAACACAAACATTACGTGAGGTTTTGATAAAGAGCCGGCGGCGGCGGGGGCAGTGCAGAGAGCTCCGTCAGCAGCTTGCTGAAGCATAAGATCGACTAGCGCAAATTTGAACTATATCGATATATGCCATATGGTCCTAATTCCATAATCACATTTAAAAATATATCAATACTAATTTTTATCGATATAATAAATAGTCTTCCCCAGGCCCTAGTTCGAGGGCAAGCTTTCCGACAAGTGCAAACTCTAAACAGATCATTCTGTACGAATCCTATCAATGAAGAACACAGAGATCAGAATTCATGGGCCGAGAAATCGCCATGAATGGGTTTGGAAAAGTAAGGAGGGCCATCACCTGCCGGACAAATTTGAAGAACCTCCGCGTCCGATTGGAAAATGAAAAAAGAGGTTGCCATTGTTTACCTTTATATTCTCTTCTTCTAAGTGACGTAGAATAGCAAGTCGGTAGCCCTTTGCTCCAGTTTGCGACCCACTCTCTGTTCAGGAGAATACTGCAACTAGTGTCGCCGACCCAGCACCAAGCGCAAGTATAAATAGTTAGCGCCTTAGAGCCTTAACGTGGGCAGGGTGGAATAGTGTCCATTTGGACTTTAGGGTGTGAACTGAGCAGCCAGTTGTGTTATTGACTTCCCTGTTTGTTTGTTTTTTGCCTTTTACTCACAATGCTTGAACATACAATCATTAAACATCCCAGAAAAGACAATTTGCTGTAGAGATGGACCTAGAGTGTCATATGTAAACATTGTATTATGTTAGCAAGCAGTGCCCAAACAGCCCGCACCCAGAAACAACAGTCTGTCGCCTGACTCTCTTGATGTCATTACTCGCTGATTACATTGCCCCAGGACAAAAATAAATCCATGACAGTCCCTGACCTAACTCTGATGAGCTTTTTTTAAGAGTGGAGTTTATCATTGCCTTTACCAACGAGGCCGCCCTGTCCTCCTCCCTGCAGAAAGCCACCAGGAAAACAGACAAGGTTCTGCCGGACGAGCTGGATGTGACCGTGCTGACCGACCAGGACCTGAAGGACGAGCTGCTCAAGCACGGAGTGGAAGCGGGGCCCATCGTTGGTGAGTTAGCAGAACCGGCAGCAGAGTCACGTGAGTTCAAAGACTGAGGTGACATCTGCTGTCAGCACACGCTGGGATGTGGAGTGTTGGTGCTAAACACTGCATACAGGTGATAGAATTTACAAGCCGACAGCCAATAGCATGAACCATTCTGGAGGTGATTGCTCTGGAACGTGTTGGTCAATTAGTAGAACATAGTAAGACACACATCATAAATTCACAAGTAAACGCTGGTATTCTAATATCAGACAAATTAGAGTCATCTAAAACAAATGAAAGGCCAACACAGCACTTATTCCATCAGTACAACAGTCATACTCATTGGTCAAGGCAGATGACCACCGCCACTCCATAGGCCGACAGGGCTTAAAAGTGCAGTTTCTCCTTGGCCCCCATGCACCGAAGGTCTGTGCTCAATGGGTGGTACTGTTTGGGTCTCTGTAAATGGTTAAAAGGAGCTTCGGTCTAGACCATGCTCTATTTGAAAAGTGTCCTGAGATAACTTTCTGTTGATGAATTGGCGCCTATACCAAGATAAAACTGAATTGAATAAACAGAGCAAAGCCTACAATGCAAAATTGCATTTTAACATATAGAAATAGTTGTTTAAAAAACAAAAACATTATGCTAACAGGCAGGATTTGTACTAAAATATCATGGAGTATATTCTTATTTTATCGGTTTTATCACAGTTTTCCTTGTTTAATACACATGCGACAAGGAGAATTTGTGATATAGTAATAAAGGCCTGTATCAGTAGAGATCGGTCTCTGTTGTTGAGCTTAATAAAGGTATGTCAGCCAAATAGGAAATACTTCTTTACTACACTGTCAGATTGTGGCAGGAATGCTTCCACTGAAATCAATGAGTAGTGAGTTGCCTAGCTAGTTGCCAATGCTGCTGGTCAGGATTTTTCTTTAGCACTTGTATTACCACATACAAAACACTCTAAAAATGTACCCATGCACTCTGCAGAAAATAATAAATATAAAATATAATAAATATTGTCAAGATTTTCATGGTAAAAAATAAAAGACTTAAGTAAATGTTGTATGTGGTATTATCTATCCTTAGGGTTATTGTCTGCTTCTGAGTTCAAGTTTGATGACACTGTAGGATTATGCAGCAGAACTCCAGCTTCATTAAACAGCCCGTCTACACCTCCGAAGTTTGAGCAGCAGTTTCATCTAACAGAACGGACACACGTCCATCTTAAGTCTTAAACCAGCTGCCTGTGCCGGCTGTGTAACAGCTCGTGTTTGCTTTTTTGTATACATGATAGTGTATTGGGCTGTGAGTGCAGAGCAGAAGTGTGGCTGAACAGATGCAGCACACACACTGACGGAGGACTGCAGCAGTTGCTCAGCACCTTGTGTTGCACGGCCCGCGTAGACGAAAATGTAACATTCAATGTTCCATTCTTCTCTGCAGCTCAGTGTGTAAATATTGAACTTCCATTGGCTGAGGTTCAAGTGTAATCTCAGAGTGTTGACTTGAATGCACCCTGACCTGGGGCAGAGTATAAAGGTGTTACTGAGAGAGCCATTGAGAGCCATGCAGTTGTTGAGAGCATATCTGTGACCTGATGCAATGTGTTTAGTCCAAATGTTTGTGTGGAGGATTTCTTTCTCTATAAATCCCCTCATAGACAATAGTGGTCAACCAATGTGGGTTTTTGGCCAATGGCGATATATCGAGAGCAGGGTGACCAATGGTCGGTATATAATTCTTATCAAAACAAAGTAAAAGTCATGTATAATGTCATTATTCATGCACATAATCTAATATACGTGGTTATCGTAACATGCTGTTTGGATGCGTTTCTTAATTAATGAAATAGAAAAATACATTGGGTTCTGCTGTAGATTTTCAGAAACTTGACCTGGTAATTAATGGCAGAGTGTGCTACAGTTTGTTCGAAGCGTCTAAAATGCATCAATGTCTGATAGTTTTCAGGGCGGCTGTGGCTCCAGAGGCAGAGCGGTCCGTCCCCTCCCCAATTCAGAAGGTTGTTGGCTTCGATCCCCCGGCTCCCCCTGCCACGTGTCAGAAGAATACTGAGCAAGATCTCGAACCCACATTGCTCCTGATGCATAGCATCCGGTGGTCGTGAAATGTGTATGAATGAGTTATTGCTGTTCGATGGACTTTGCCCATCCCACTGTGTGGAATGTGTGTGTGCAACGGGACGCGCCGCTAGTGTACAAGCGCTTTGAGTGGTCGGAAGAACTAGAAAGGCGCTATACAAGTACAGGTCCATTTACCATTTACCATTTACAGTACAGGACTGGAAACAAACCTTTTCACCATCTTCCCAAAATTCACAAAATTAATCTGTATCTATAATACCTTCTGTAGCTTTAAGTTTAGTGAAATTAGTAAAAATGTAATTAAATGTCTCCCCTCTGCTCATCCTCCCAGCGTCCACCCGTAAGCTGTATGAGAAGAAACTGCAGAAGCTGCTGGATGACGGTCCCACACAGCCGCCGCTGCCACAGCTGGTCCTCACAGACATACAAGTCAACCACAACGGCAACTCCGAATCAGACCTGTACAGCGACAAGGAGGATGGTAAGAACAGTGGCACCATTCATACTGATTATATGTGCATGACTGCGGTAGGTTTAGGGTTTATACGCTAGTATGTATAGGTAATTTATTTAGGTATTTACAAAAAATGTACAGTATGTATTCACTACCTTGTAGCGGTGTGAATCTTTCAGTATCTCGCGATTCAATTTAGTATGTAGCGGTGCTTATTTCAGAGTCTTGCTTGTAGCCAGTAACAGGCAACATTGCCAGCAGTGAGGAGAAATTAGAAACTATACTTTAGATTTAGTGAACTGGCAAGGCACTGTGCATTTCAGGATGACAGTGTATCTTTGACAACAAAGATGTAGGTGAATGATTTGTGAAAGTTTGTTTACTGTACTGAAATGAAAACTGATGGCTGCTTGGAGCGCAAGAAACCAACTCATAGACATAAACTAATCAGGCTGCACTGTGTTTTGTCAGAAGTGACAGCAGCACCAGAACCAGAGCCTGTGGCAGAACCTGAACCAGTTCCAGTGGTAGAGAGACCACTGAGGAGCCGAGGGAAGACGCCCGTCACCACCCGCACCCGCAGCAGCCAGCACCACGCGGTAAGAAACATGTTCAACATCAGGTCCTCAGCTTTATTTACTCACTGTGATAAAAACACATCATCTACACACCTTTATATGAACTGTACTACCTGTCGGCCTTTTTTGAGGGAAAGCCACTTAGGGCTACTTCATAGAAATGATCCTGGTTTCCAGTACACCATCTGTTGCCACAGTTATCATATTATTTATTTATTTATGCCAAGTGCAACTTTTCTGCTGTTGTATTTCATGACTTGATGAAATGTGTGAGTGGTGTTTAGCGGATGTTGACAGTTTCCGTGCTTGGCAAACTGTTAACCTGAATGATAGAGGAGCTGTATATTTCCTGGTGAAATTACAGGTTTGAAAAGCATGTGATTGAAAGCAAAATGTAATGTTTCTGTTCTGAGCCACCTGCAGTTTCTCTGTGTACTACAGTAATTAAGGCTGTGTTTTGGAAAGAATCTGGCAATACAACGTATCACGATACGGGGCCGCAATTCAATATATTGCGATACTGTAAGCAAGGCCATATGTTGCGTTTTGTAATTAATTTTTTTATTTTAAGAAAACACCACATCACAACCCTCAGTTTACAACACTGCTACCTAGCGGTTGAGGGTTAAACACCAAAATCAGTACAGTGTTTTTGAGAATCAATACAATCACAAAACAAAATATTGGGATACTCAAGTGTATCTATATTACACAGTAATCAGTGCTGAGATCCACTGATGGATTGGATATACCAATATCTGCGGAAGGCCTGTATTTAATATCTCTGATAGCAAACACACCGTGTCCCTTATCCCTCATCCCTCACCCATGTTTAGCTCATGTCTACACGAGGACAAGGTCAGTAAATCAGTTTAAACATGAACCACACCAGAACTAAAAGGCAACAGTGTTTTTCCTTTGGCCTGTACCAAATGAACTGAACTTCAGGGGTGGAAGTGACCTAAGAGTAGCTGTGCTCCTTCTTAGGAAGAGGAGTTATTTCCTTTTTTTTGGGCTCATATTTTAACTAGAAAAAAATCTGATTTCCTGTTGAATGTTCTTCCTCATTGCTGGCATAACCACAACCTGACGATTATGATAAGAGGAGACACATTCTGTGTGTGGATTTAAAAGAGCAGCAGCACACAGCTGGTTCCTGAATTCAGCAATTGTATCACCCATCTTCATTTTCACTTCATTAACTACATTCCAACACTGCATTTTCTGATACTGAGGGTTCTTACAAGGTCTTGTAAGTTTTGAAAATGCTTAATTTGAACCAATCTACACAGTCACTCATGTAAACCATGTTTTTTTATTATCATATTTCATATAATGATCCAAACATACAATCCATGAACTGCTGTTAAAATGGATAGTGATAATGTACATTGCTTGCTGTGGGAATAGGAATTCTTAAAACTTTTTTTGTAATGGCATTTATAGTAACAATTTAGATGTGATAAGATTGGAGATCTGTGGTACCTTGAAAGTGCTTGAAAAGTACTTACATTTTACTCTTAATAAGCAGCCCTTTTTCCATTACAAGCTGCAGACAGCATGGATCAAGTCTGAACCAAATATTGCAAAGAATGCCAATTCATTATAGCATCTTGAGCAGTTGTACCACTGTCCACCTCCACGAGGCTAAGCGGCAGTGCAGACATTGGTGTGCGGTGTGTAGTTAAGCCGGTAGGATGGGACTCCCAGCAGCTGGGGTTGATTATACTGTTTCCTCTGACACTGGCAAAGGAAGCATTTTTTTGTTTTATTGGAGCAAAGTCGCACTCAGTGAAAGTCTGTAGGTTCAGTGTATCCATGCTGCATGTCATCCTCAAAGCACATGACGTGGATTAGCTGCTGCCATGCACATGCTGGATGTTCAGACCCATTCACACGCTCTTCGGCGCTTCAGGCCTGATGTCTGTTTCTTCAACAATTTGGCGTCCACCTGTCCATACTGTTGTTGTTGTTGTTGTTGTTGTTGTTGTTGTAATCATAAAACCTCTTTACAGTTGGTATTCAAGTGTTATCAAAGCCTATGTTTGAACAGCCTCTTTTATGTGAGGGGCTGTAGTCCAGCAGTGTGTTGCTGGTAACCTCTCTGAATTTGACTGAGCAGCTCCTCCTGCTGTCCACACTGTGGATGTGGACCTGTTGAGCCGAGGCCTTGAGGCATGTGGAAACTGGGGGGGCTGCCAACAATGATCTGATGTGAGCTGTGTAGGAGGAGCTAGAGGTGGGTGTGGGTGTGGGTGTGGGTGTAGGTGTAGGTGTTTTTCTCCTGCTTTCTCGCTATGAACTTTTCAGTAAACACAGTGATGGTATTCTGTGTTTTATAGGTAGATGACATGTTCCACTGCTCTTACTGATGTAATCTCATTAGGTGAAGGTAATGAATTGAGTTTCTCATGTGACCTTTTGCTGTGGCAAACAGTTCCCTCTCCTGTTAAATAGTGTTGTGTGCATTTTAATTACTCCATTTCCTTAAAATGAACTTAGTTTGCATCAGCCGAGCTGGTTGTCCCTTTCTGTTTACTTTATCAGGACTAGTTTTCCTCTCGTTTTTCTTGTTCTCGTTTAAGATTTCTGTGCATTTTCTTGTTGTACATATGCTGCATTTTGCTTATACATGAAGTCATCTGTGGTATATTTTACCTCTGCTGCCTGCGATTCTTGGTTGCATATTGCAGTTTTTGTATTTCTAGTACATTGCAGTGTTGCTGCATTGTAGTAAATAGGTTCTGTACATGTAATCTTCTGGTCCTTCCGTCCACTCTACATTTACCTGTTAGATGTCCGTCTGTCCATCCCTCTGTTGCTTCTCCTTTTATACTCTAAATCAGTTCTTTGGGATGGACATTGTATTATGTTGTACAGATGGTAAAGGCGCAGAGACACATCTTTTGGCTATTAATAAATGGGACTATTACACTCAAATTGGTCATACTTGGTAAAAAAAAATGGTCTAAGCTTGATAATCCCGTAGTGAACGTGAGGCATTAGTTTGGTTTGGGAAAAGTTTCTGTAGTTAGGGCTAAAGCTTTTATTGTTTAATCTGCATATTCTTTTTCAATCATTTAGGATCATTTATCATTCAGTCCATAAATAGTCATAAAGTAATCAAAATCCCCCATCACAATTTTGCTTCATTAATGGCTTGGTGCATAATGTCTGATTATTTCCCTGTGGAGCAACTCAATGAGCGGAGTTGGGAAATTAGCATATCACAGTGCAAGAATGCACTTTTCTGCTGAGTAAGACTAAAATGTCTACTGAAATAAGATTTTTTTTTTTTTAGTTTTAGCAGCATTTTTGTAACAGAAGGAGAGAGTTTTCAGCTCAGTAAGACTGCCAGTAAATCTAAAGGTGGAGAGTGTTAGATTGTAGTTAATAGATGGTGTTGTAGTGTAATCCACTATACCACAGGTTTCAACCAAGGACCACCTTACAAAATAAAGGAAAATACCAGGGACCCCCTCATACATGTCTATTAAAATAATTTGACGTAGTCTATTTTTTACACGTCTGTAGTCTTAGTTATATGAAAGAACAACACAAGAAAGATATTAGACATGAATTAAAATATTAGCAGTCTCAACACAGGTGCATACCCATGATGTGTGCTTGATAGAGATGGGAATCGAGAACCAGTTCCAGTTGAGAACCAGAAAACCTGTGTGGGACAACTTTTTTCCACACAGAAAACTGATCAAGAATCAATAAAGGAACCGATGAAGAGGCGGACTGATTAATAATGGCATTGGTATCAATAAAATGTTATCACTTCCTATTCCTAGTGCTTGGTTGCATGGAGCACATATTATAGAGATAGACTTTACATTAGAATGTAATCTATTAGGTGTTTTAGGTAGAAATATATTATATATTATATATTATTTATATATATTAAATAATATAATATAATATTATTTGTTGACTATAAAGCTAAATACAGAGTTACAAACCACCAAGATCTAAAAAGTGGCAGACACTGACATATGTGCAAAGGGGATATAATTGAACCAGTGAAATGCAACGTTGAATAAAATTACTTCTTTTGAAACATTTGAGATAATGTAAGTAAACAACTCCACTACATATAGAACATAGTTCTAGTGTTTATAGCTTCCAATGCATGGGTGCTGCGCCACATATGGGTATGCCTTGAAGAATATCTGGACTGAAGTTAAAGCAAACATAAATGGTGATGAACGGGCTATAAGTCAAACACTGGTATTCTCACGGTCTGCTGGTATGTGCATACCATGTGTGCAGAGAGACCAGTTGATGGATGAGGGCGATGATGATGAAGAGCCTGTCCTGCAAGTAAAGCGCAGATCCAGGAGGTCGTCCCACAGAGCAGTGAATACTGTACCAGCCCCACCCCTTCCTCCACACACCAGCACTGTAACTGACTAAAACCCACTGGTGTTCACACCTGGCCAGGGATCTCTGTCCACCTGCTTCACACCTAGATTTAGCTCACTCTCTTCTGTACATTGTCCTCTAACTTAGTTACTAGCTAACAATACAGCATGCATTATCAAACGGTCAAATACCAAGACTAAAATTCTAATCATACCCAATGATTAAGTCCAATCTTTACTGCCACTACCACCATTCACTTTTTTTTCAGATTTTTATTTTTAAGCTTTCGTCCAGTGTTCACTGATAACTGCAGTGTAGATGTCCACATTCATTATATGGCACTGCAAAAGACAAAAAGATTTCATCCTACCTACAAATCTGGATCACCTAAAAATCATTTCTTTGTAGGTTTTATGCTAAAACTTGAGCAATCCAGTTAAAATGATCTTGCTTGCTCATCTTAACTTATTCATCATTTACTGCACTTCCTCTTCTCTTACTTGTCCACTCTTCCTGAATTTATTGCTTCCTGTCCTCTTTTCTTTCTGTACTCCGTCCTTGCCTCCTGCTTTTTATGTCTCAGCAGATAGTGACTGAAGATCTCAGGCCTGTTTTGACAGACCAGGTCCAGCTGCAGTCTAACAGGAGGCTTTCTCACAGGCGGGATAGTCCAGCTCGGGCTGAACCTCCCTCGTCCTCATCCAGACCTTTTCAGGTAGTTCTGGGCTGTGGCCACTGGGAGACACTGTTTACTCACTGAAACCTGCATGGACTCACTGGTCTGTTGAAGAGCAGAGTGCTTCTCCTTCAGGCATACTCTGCTTCTTGTCATCTCAAAAGGCACCCATGGGTGGTTGGAAAATATTTGCAGGTGGTTACGAATGGGTTTCATTCCACTTAATTCTTTGTCACAATGGACTAGAACAGCCATCAGGAACTTTTGGGCCTGTTTGGTTCGATTTCCCTCTATCATACCTTGGTACCATTCATTGAAAATTCTCAGGTTTGATTGATTTGATGATGCCTTGCTGCCCGATCCAGTGGAGATGGCTGCCCAAAACATGGCCACGGTTTGTAAAGCTCCTGGAAGCCCCTACTGGAAGGTACCCTCACTGTTTCATTTCTGGGTGGATTTCTTGAATTCCAAAGGACATTTGGATTGTCGGGAAGACCAGTTCAAAATCACACTGCCTCCCTGGTCCCTCTCTAGGAACTGTGTCTTTGGTGAGACTCTGGCGATACGATATGGTTTACAATTCAGTATATTGCGATACTGTAAGCAATGCAATTATTTATTTTCTTAATAATATTTTTATCAAAGTCCCTGAAACATCATACCCCTCAGTTTACAAACTGCTATCTAGTGGTTTGGGGGGTTTAAACACACAAATCGATTGTGTATTTGAGAATCGATGTATTATAAAACAAATCGCAATGCTCAAGTGTATCAATATTTTCTTCCACTCTTACACTATATATCGGCACGCGCTTTCAGGTTTGACTTGACAATCGGTGTCCACTGTGGTTTGAGTTGGAAATCCATCCAAGTTCTTAGAATCCTAAAAGAAACTGCCTGCTCGCTCACCTTCTGTTTGAAACCTGTAGCTCCAAGAGGAAGAACTGGGGCTACGTCTTCCCAAACCCAGTAAGGATTCGTCTAACAAGCCAGTTGCTCTGCTCAAAACCACTCTGCTAGAGGTTAGCCATTTGTTTTAGCAAGGAATCGCATGCGGCATGTCCACAGTGATTGAATTGCTCTTGTAACTTTGCAACAAGATGCCAATAGACTCACTATGACTGGGTTTGTTCACACTATTACACACTGGTGATGAACTGTGGGTAATGGTGTATTGTAGGGTGGTGAACAAAACACACAGCACTGAAAGGCAAACACTGTGCTTTATTTAACCTGGGGCATCTAACCACAGTTGGTGGGGTGGTTCATTGTTTCAAGTCTGAAGAGCATAAACTTGAACCATCAAAATTATGGATGCTCCAGTCAGTCGGATCGGTTTCGGCACCGATACCAGCCTTATTAAGCCAATGGAGTAATGGCCCAACATGAATACAATTTGCCTTCCTGTTCTGTTCATTAGTAACCGACACTCATCACTTTCTGATCCTGATTCATTCTCTGTTGTTGTGTTGGTGTCTCAGGAACCTGAGGCAAGTATTGAGCCTTTAAGACCAGCAGCAAGGGTGCGTAGAGTTCAATTTGTATCACACCGGAATCATAACTGAAGCCATTTCTATTAGTAGAATAGCAAGTTCTTCTTTTTTCCTTCATTTCTGAACACGTACATCTATCATAGAGCCTGCCTGAAGAACGGAGTCCACGGCCGGTTGCCAGGTTGTCCGGGCCCACCAGAGTCGACCCGCTCACCTTTAGCCCCATGTGTAACATCTCACCCATAAAGAGACAGGAGAGCCACTGGTCTCTGTCAGACCAGTTAGAATCGAAGCCTGGCGGTGTCTCTGCAGCAGGGGTACAGCTCTACTCAAACATCTCCGGCTGCTTTTCCTTCTTTTCTCTTCACTTGTGTGTCTCGCTAATGCGTGTATCTGAATGCTGCATTGTCTTGAAGAGCTGAAATTCTCACAATCTGTGTAGTTTATAAGGTTGTTGATGAATCGCTGTGACGAAGTGTGTGTGTGCAGCTGTTGAGAGACAGTTGTGTGACAGCTGACTGGTTAGCACACAGTTACACACACGTTGTTTGTGAGCAGGAGCAGTGTGCCCCTCCAGATGTCCCTCTGCATAAAAGAAGGCAACAAAAAATCACCAGCTTCCTGTCCGTGTGCAGCCCCGTGAAGACGCTCGGCTGCATGTCCACACTGTCCAAGGACGTGTTTGTGAGACAGGTAGTCACACTGGCAATAGTGAACATGGTGGTTGGCCCAGCCTTTTGTTTGAAGTGGTCACATGGTGAGAGGTGTCTGATATCAGGCAGTGAGGCCCTCTGCTGGTCCAGACATGCACCTACAGGTGGTTGTAGTGAAGTAGTGGGGGGGATTTTCCCTTTGTATCGGAATCTTAAAAATGTATGTGGAACAAGAATCTTGCTGAAGTTCACTGGTGAGATTCAATTCAATTCAATATGATTACGCAGTTATTCTATCAAATCAAGCCTGATGAAACTAATCAATTATCTTAAATTACAAAACACTTCTTAAAGGGAACATAAAAATTCCTGGGATGAGCGCTAATTTTTCTGAATGTTAAACTCAGAAAAAACCGAAATTTCTTCATACTTGCCCCATAAAACCCAAGAGTATCACTTTCTAAAGGATATAGCTACTCTAGATGGCATTACCTTGGGCCTCTACGTCGCCACTGTCAGGAATCTTGGAGTTATTTTTGGAATCAGGACTTGTCATTTAATTCCACATTAAAGCAGATCTCCAGGACTGCCTTCTTCATTTACGTGTAATATTATATATGAAACTCACCAGACAGATGCAGAAAAAACTAATCCATTGCATTTGTTACTTCAAGGCTGCGATTACTGCAACTTTTGTTATCAGGTTGCCCTAATAAGTCCATAAAACGCTCCAATTTAATTCAAAAACGCTGCAGCACGAGTGACTGACAGGAACAGGAAAAGAGATCACATCCTCTCCTGGTTCTAGCTTCTCTGCATTTGCGCTCCCTGTTAAATTTAGGAATAGAATTTAAAAATTCTCCTTCCTTCACCTATAAAAGCTTCTTTCTATGGTCAGGCCCCTCATATCCTTGAAGAGCTCATAGTACCATTATATACCCCTCTAGACTCTACTCTCTTGAATGCTGGACTACTTGTGTGTTTCTATTAGTCTCTAAAAGAGAACAGGAGCCAGAGCTTCATGTTACCAAGCTCCTCTCCTGTTGGAACCAGCTTCAGTCGGAGGTTCGGGGAGCATGATCAACCACTCGTCCACCATTTAAGAGTAGGCTTAAGACATTTCTCTTTGATAAAGCTTATAGTTAAGCTGGCATCAGGTGAGTCCTGAACCCATCTTTTAGTTATGCTGCTAATAGGGGCCTAGACTATCGGGGGGATTCTCCATGGTGCACTGAGCTCCTCTCTTCACTCTCTCTTTTATGGCACTTCATTCATGTCCCATTAATGCATGTTACTAACTTCACTTCTTCCCCGGAGTTCTGTGCTTTATCATCCTGCAGGGTTCTCATGGCATCCTGGTGGAGCATCCTGCCATTGGTACCTGTAGATGCCATTGCTAATATCACTGATATTATCGTTATTCAGTTATTAGTTGTTGTTTAAATATTGTTCTTGCTGCGGGGTTTTTTTTGCTTTGTTGTCGCTGCTCGCTGTCCCCCGGTTTCGTTTCTGGCTTGTCGCCGGTCGTCACCGTCTTTTTCATGATCGTCCAGTCGATCATACTGTTAATTAGTTGTTGCTTCTGTTGTTGCTGTACATCTGTTTGTTCTCTGGTCTCTCTCTTCTCTCTCTCTGGTCTCTCTCTCTCTCTCTCCTCTCTTTCTCCCCCCAATCTGGTCAAGGCAGATGGACACCCACCTAAGAGCCGACAGGGTCTGTTCCGAGGTTTCGCGTTAAAAGGCAGTTTTTCCTTTCCCCGGTCGCCAAGTGTTGCTCATGGTGGTACTGTTGGGTCTCTAGTAAATGTCTATAAGGAGTTCGGTCTAGACCTGCTCTATTTGAAAAGTGTCCTGGAGATAACTTCTGTTTATGAATTGGCGCTTATACAAATAAAATTG